GCTTTTCTAACTGAAATTTTAGATCGATTGCGTCTTAGCAACTACTTCGACAATCGCCACGGATTGCATTATAATTTATACTACGTCAATTTGATAAAACCATAGATATATGGTGTATTACAAATTTTTATATCAAGGAGGTCCGTGTTGGAGATTTGATCATCAAGATAATGAAATGAGGTATAACAATAACCGAAATAGTTTATAATTTTAAAATTTAAATTACAAACATATATAAAGTACCTATTATTTTGATTTTTAATTTAATAATTAATTAAGGTGGTGTTTAAATATTCGAAGCACAAGCATATTTTTTATCTATCTATCTTATATCTATTTAATTGTATAAATATGTAAGAACAGATTCTGCGACCTGGATATGCCGTCGTCGTTTGTGCTAAAAGCGTATTTTTTTGTGTTGCGCGCTCGGGAATAAAAAATATACCCCTACTTCACCCGGGTAGCAAATTGTCTGTGACAATAAATTTTAGTTTTGAGACTAAAAAGTAGAGACCCAAAAGAATAGGTAATCAAACTTACATCGAGGGTATACATCGACTCTTCGGGTAATATATAGCTGCAAGGCCCATATCTTGAGCGCAGACGCCATATCGAGGAACTTCTTTCTTCATCTAAGCCCGAACTGAAAAAATCGAGTTTTTTATAAAAATTACTTGAGTAGAAGAAATATGTGAGCAAATGTTTATTGTTGCCTTACACATTTCTCTTTTGTTCAATGAAATTATTAGAATTGTGAATCGTCTCCGACGAATGACGACGATCGGCTTTCGCCATAGATAATAGATATTATAATATGATATGTTGTTATCAGTTTTCGCGTTTTTGAATTCTTTGGATGACACGATACATTTTTTATTTTCGATTCCGAAACATATATACTATAGGTACTCAATGATAATATTATTCGGATTGTTTAAATCTATAAAATTCAGAATACGGAACTCTGCGTACACGCCATTTAGATAAATTACTGTCGCGAGTCCAATTTTTTTGTTCGGCATCTCACAGTATTGTTTTTAGGCTTAACGGTTAAACTATAACTTAATATAAAACTCTAGAAGTGTCGAGACATGAATAAAATTCAAAATTAGGCTTTGAAATTTACAGAAGTAATAAAAAAATGGATACTTTAATAGTGAATATAATATTCTCTCTGGGCTCGGAATTAATATGTTATCAAACAATATTAATATATTATTCTATAATAATGTGCAGTATTTGCTAAAACATTTTGTGATTATATTTTACTACTACACTATAGTGTAATAAATAATGTAAAATATATTATATACTGCCGTGTAGGTACCTGACTAAGGCTCTCACATAAATGTAAGTGAAGGGGGAAAAAACCTTAACCAAGGTTCGGGACTTATAGCATTTGCATACTTTTTTTATTTATGGTAAAATGTAGGAGAGTTCGAAATAAATTCATACCAAATCTAAAATTTGAATGTGCATATTTTGCATAGTTCATACATTTTGCCGGAAACCGCTTATTTTTACGTTATTGTGCTTAATTTGCATATTTGGGAAAATTTTCAACTTCACAAATTTCACCCTATTTAAAAAAGAAAATAGTAATGCAGCTTACTCGCAGTCTTATGAACCTATTTTCTGTATACAACTCACGACTCCTTATAATTTTCGTAAAAATGACTATGTTTCAACTGTGCCACGTCGAAAACTATACCAAGTCCAACAATAATTTTAAAATCATCATTCAGCAATCTCAATGATATGGAGTTTAGTTGAAAGAATACAGTGAAGTAAAAAAACTAAATGCACAGAACTAAACTGTTTGGGATTTTTAAATGTAACGAGAATAATTCTAGTAAATCATTTATTTATTGAAACAGATTAAATTACTGAATATCAAGAGTACTCATTGGCTGACTTGCAGTGTATTCTGGCAATTGACAATAACAGGTATTGTATATAATTATTTCAAAATAATATATTATTTAATTAATTGTTTTAAATAATTTTGAGATATATATTATCCGGAGCAGTTTTTTTATGGACATGATCATTATATAGCGTATGTAAGCCGTGTACATAGATGGTGCACAAAAGATTTGGCAAAAAAAATATTAAAAGTACCCCTAGTTCAATACAAATAAAACCACATGTAATTTTATATGTCAAAGAATAAAAAAAAAAGACATGTACATAGGTACAAAAGTCAACTATAGCAATAAGAGAGGTTTTTTTTTTAAAATTAAACAGAAAGACAAAAAGGTTATAATATTTTATTATTTTTAAATTTATATTAAGCGTTTGTTACAAGATAAATAAAAGTAATAAGAATCAACAATTAATTAAATCAATTTTATTTTTTTCAATTTTCCTTTCACCAATATTTCTATATAGTGTCATGACTCGCGGATCCAGCACCAAAATGAGAAAAAGTACGCATAGGATTGAAACAGTCTGGGGGCGAAAAATGTTTTTGAAGTATCGACCTGACGTTTTATAATAAATGACGAATACCATGAACCACGATTTCTATTTCTAATAATTAAAAATTAATAAAGTAAATTTAAAATGAATACAATTTGAAGATCTGAAAAACATAATCTATTTACTAACAAAACAAAATAAAAATTGTTATTAATTCATGTGAGCTCTTATTTGATGGCCATGAGTTTATAATATTCAATAACCCATGTTATGTTCCTACAAATATAGAGTAAAAAGAATTAATAAATAAATTTTAAATTATGTTTATTGTAATATTACCATGTATTAAGACTATAAGGGTAAGAAACAAAAATTCTTTATTAAACTTATATAAAAAAAATTGTTGCTCGATACATTCTGTAAAATACTTCTGTAAGTAGTATATTTCAATTGTGTATTACATAATATAATTTTAAATTATACTCTAAACTATACCTACGTATAAACACCACTGATTGGATATGATTTTTGGACTCGAAATTATAAATAAGTTAGCGGGTATTTACAAAATGTTAACAGCATATTTCAATTTGTAGCTCAAAAGGGGGTGTAGCGTGAAGTTGCCCCCCCATCTTATATTTTTCATACTTTGTAGGTAATTTATTTGCAAATTCTGAAAACCAATTTGCAAGTGTTTGCAAATTATTTGCAAATTATTGGTAGTATCTTGAAACCGCTAGCTACATATTGGGGGGCTGCTTGAAGTTGTCCCCCCCCCCCATCTTATTTTTTTATACTGTGTGGGGAATGGATTTGCAAAATGATGACATAACTTTCATAAAAGTTTGTCATGGTGTTGCTGCCTCCCAGATTTTTTCATCTTTTGTCCGGTTTTTTTTTTACATATTTTTTCCAAGTTCCAATGATTATACATAGTATAAAGCGTTAAGCCAAATAACTACATATTTTTTCAGGAAATGTTCGATAATTTAAAAACATACAATTCATGATATTTCAATAAAATAATAAAAGTTAGATATAAAAAACAAGGCGTGCTTAAAACCTTTTTGCACCGCCCTAGTTGCACCACTTCGTACCTTTAACGGCTTTAACTAGTGTAGTCTATAAAATATAATACAATATAATAATATAAAACTAGCACGGAGGGCTAGTAATAATATAAAATAATACATATTATTGTGTTTAACTTGCGAACTGAACGTACCACTACACTGTGACATTACGTTTTAATTATTGATTATTATTATTTCATCGCTAATTGCGGCGCTGGGTGTCATACTCTGATACTCATGCATCTGTAGCTGATGTATCACATTGTGTTTTGTTTCTTTCTACGGCCACATCACGTCGAACTTGATATCCTATAGGTAGTTTATAAATAGTTAATTGTCCCAAATTTATACTTTATGGGTTATAATGACTTCATTTCAAACCAATATGTCTCATACTGCATAATTTTTGTTCCTTCTTAAAATACGTTTCGCTAATGGCACCCGCCGCCCACGTTTCCCTTCCAAATTTTTTTTTAAGTCTACTAATAGCAATAACTAATTCTCTAACACTCTGGCGTTATTATTAACATAATACATGCTCAAATCAGTGTAGTGGGTACTATTATTGATCTAAGAAATAAAATATGAAATACATTTTTATGCGGATTTGTGGTGTGTTCCGACAATTTTTTAGAGTGTGACATCATTAATTTTATGAGCTTTGGTCTAAGCCAACAAGTTATAAAATTAAACAAATTTAAGACATATTATACCTTTAAATTTTTTTATTTACGATATAAAACATAGTTTTGTCCATTTCGATAAAAAAGGTAAATAAAAACATGCCATTAACGGTATATAAATAATAATATTGTTAATATTATTAATTTAGCTTAAATAATATGTTTTGCTAACATAACATTCATACTTTGTAAAATTAGGTAATAATAGCTAAGCGTGGGGAAATAGGATATTATAATAAAAAGAATAATCTAGGCCAAATAAATATAAATATGAATAAATAATACGTGAAATTTTACATACATAGAAAAATATTTAAAAAAATAAAGGTGAGACTTTAGAAAACATTGTACTTACACAAAAATAATTAGGTAAACATACAAAAGTATAATGTTCAATTGTTAAATTAAGTTTGAATTAAAATATAGCACCTAGAAAAGATTACATATAAAGCTCAATTTTAACCTAGTTAACAGATGTTTTTTTCAGTACTATAGGTAAAAATAATTTTCAAAACATTTTGTTTCAATAAAAAATAATACTTTTTAACTAAAAACGTATATATAAAATGTATGTAGGTTTCTTGATAAAGAAGTATAATTAATGTATCACTTAAACGTAAAACTCATAAAACATACATTTTTTTTGTATCAATATTGTTGCTAAAAAGCGAATAACTTCAATTTTTAAACCACTAATACAAATAAAATAATTTTACAAATATTTAGCAGAGCAACGTTTTAAAAATCACAAAAATGAAACACAATAAAAAAAAATAATAGTAATAATAAATCAAATTTTATAAAATAACTAATAAGTTATGTATTTTTTTCTTTTTTTTTTTTAATATGATAATAAATCAAATCTAGGAAGTGGCCGTCTCAGTCTTTTTTGTGATGGGAGCTTTAGGTCTTCTGATTGGCCCTGGCATTGCAGGTGGTGCTACAGTTTTGGGTGCAACTTTTGCTTTTGGAGGCAACTTTGGAGGCGCTAAACTCATTCTTGATGCTAAAGTAACAGGTGGCTTTGATGTAGTGGATGTTTTTGATACGTCACCATTGGTTAATTTTGTAGTTCCATTTGTTGATACGCTAGTTAATGGTTTTTTTATTGGAGCAGACATTGGACGGCTTAAAGGTTTAGGTGAACCATTAGTAAGTGGTTGCTTGTTAACCAAGGACATTCGTGGTGTGATATTTGTTTTTGGTGATGTACCTATTGACTTTGAAGCTGTTGTAGTTGTTTTGGGAGTTGTAGGAGTTCTAGGTGATGATAATGGTGTTGTTTTGGTTAAAGTTGTTCGTGGTGTAGTGGGTGTTGTTTTTGCTGATATTGGTCGGGATGCAGGAATTGATGTTTTGGGGGTTGGCTTTGGAGCAGCTTTAGTAACAGCTGTTGCTTTTAAAAACGTAGTTTTTGGAGCAGTTGTTGGTCGAACATTAGTTGTTGGCTTAGAAGTAGAAGTAGCAGTACTTGGTCTTGACAATGGTTTTGATGCTGTTGTAGATGAAGTAGTTTTCTTAAGGGTGGGAGCTAATGTTTTTGAGGCCAGTGGTTTTGTTGAAGCGGTTTTTGGTGTTGTTGTCTTAACTTTAGAAACAGTTGTCTCCATCTTTTTAGGCGCAGATTTCTTGGAAGCTAAGTTGACACCAGTGACGGCTGCAATAGCAGCAGTACCAACAGCTGCTGCAACTGCGATTTTGGCAATCTACAATTTAATACATTTTTATTAATTAATAAAATATAACAATTAATAGTTAAGTTTTAATTGTATTATAATTAAACATACCTTGTTATTATCATCTTGATTATCAACATTTTCTACGCAATCCTGGGAATTTGGAATCAGTTCAGTTGTTTCTGCATTGTTTTCTATCTTTGGCTCACTTACCACGTCAAAGTTTGATTCAGTAACAATATCATTTTTATTTTGTACTTGTTCTACTAGTTTATCATCAATATTTGATGGTTCTTCAACTGTGGGCTTATCAATAGGTTTGTCAAGTTGTGTGGTTTGCTGAACTTCTTCACCAAAATAATCTGCACTCGTTTCCATCACGTACAATGAATCGCTCATATTTCTGTTCTGAAAATTCTCTTCAAATGTCATGCTAGTACACATCATATTGGATTCATTTATTAATGTATCAGATGCCGAACAATATGGTTGTGGCATATTGTTTTCCACATCAGAATGAATTATCATTGATGAATGCATTTCTTCATCGCTATCTGTTATGTGATTTTGAATGGATTCATTACCGTGATTTTCCTGTTGCAAATCTTCGTGGTGCTTCATTAAAAATTCATCAGCAATTTCTTGATCTTGTTTGAAATTTTCAACTTCTGAAACACTTTGATGTTGCTTAATATCCTGAGCATAATTGTTTTCAAATAAATCAACATTGTTATGTTCTTGTTTAAAACCTTCAACATTACTGTTCTCAAATTCTTCATTGTGTAGGCTTTGATTGATATTGTCAACTTGATTTAGCTGCACTTCAGATACATTATTAAAATATTTTTGTTCGAAATCTTCAATAGGAATTTGTTCAGTTTTGCTGACATCTTCCATGCAATTTTTAACAGATTCAGCAATGAGCTGATCTCCTTGTTTAGGGTCTTCTGTATCATAACTGAGTATATCAGCAACATTATTATATTTTTGTTCAACATTTTCCGAGTCTTGAATAGCTGAAACATCATATTGATTCTCTTTTTGAACTTCAATGTTTTCTTGTATTGTTTTAGAAACATCAGCATGTTCAGTATTTTTTATAATTTCTAAATCTTCAGCATGGTCTTGAATAAAATTTTCATGTTTGACATCTTCAACAAGTTTGTAATTATCATTTACATGATAATGTTCTGGCTCTATATTTTCATTTTGTACAGAATTTACACTGTGATTTTCATATTCAAAATTATAAGTATTACCATGTTTAAATTCTTGTTCGAGATCTTGTGCATGATTCTTAACATCATCTATATGAACTGGAACTACTTCAGGACAAGGATTTTCACTAACTTTTTGATGTTCTAGGTACTCATTTTTTATTTCTACATGACTGTCAACAATAGCGTGTGGTTCAAAACTATCAATATTATTATCATCAACCTCGTGATTGCTTGTTTCATTTTCAGTTGCGTTTAACAAAGCTTCATGAATGCTTGCTGAGAAATCGGATTCCGGCAAATACTGTTGTTCATACACAGAATGGAAAGGTTTAGCTTCCTCTTTTATACATAAAGGTTCTTCTACAGGTTCGTGTTTTAATAATTCGGATACCTGATGTTCATTAGGTATAATATTGTCAATATTATGATGCATTTCATCAACTTCATTGTTCACTACATGAGTAACATTAGGTATTATTCCAGCTGGATCTTCAGTTTGTTCAAAACAGAAAGGATCATGATTTTCCTTGTCATTATTTTCATCAAATTGATTAAATTGTGTCTGTTGTTTGAAGGCTTCGGAAAATTGATCGTCATCATTTTCAGACTCAAATGTTGATTGATTATCCATACGCATTGGAGTATGAGGTTCTGAACCCAAAATTGCATCTGTTGTGCTTTCACTGTCATTCAACTTGCGATCTTCATACTGCGAAAATTTATCCATTTGACTACTATCCAAAAAGTCGTTTTTAAAATCATCATTATGTTTAAAAGATTCTTCATCAAATTGTAAAGTTGAACCAGCTGTTGCATTAGTAGTATTAATTGTATCATCAACATTTTGTGAATTCATATCCTCTTCTTGTTTTACAATTGAGAAATCACTATTTAATTCAACATCTGATTCATTTTGTGATTCATTATCACCACTTGTCAAATTTAATTCATTATTTTTGGACGATTCCATTACTGATACAAATGGATCCGTAATGTGAGTTTGAGCATCATCATTTTGGTATTCAGACAAATCTTGAACTTTGTTTAAGTCAACTTTATCGTCTGAAACAAATGGATTTTGATATTCATCTAAATTTCCATTAGTAATGTATTCATTTTGTAGAATGAAATTATCATCCGTAGCACCGTGATTAGTCACTTCTTCATCATTTAAAGGTTTAATACCATTCAGCATGGTTGAATCATCGTTGGGCTCTGAAATTTAAATCAATAATTGTTAGTTGTCTATTAATACATAATACACAATATATACTACACTAACACATTAAAATCATTATAGTAAACATTTTCTAAATTAATATAGTTTATGGCAGTATTTATTTTTAAAAACCATGCATTTAATAGGTGAAATACTATAGTGTATAAACAAATTGGGTCATTATTAATTGATGCGTACATGATATTTCAATAATCTAATTAGATAAACTGAATCTATAATGTCATTTATTTAATAATCATAATATAAAACATTTATATTGTGTAGTACTTTGTTAGGTATGTTAGGTTTTATGACAAAATGTACCTACTATTTTTTAATTTTGTGTTTCTTAGATATGTAACCTAAAGTAAGATTTTAACAATCAAAATATTTTCAAAATAAAGGTAGATAATATAAATTGAGTAAAATTATTGAATTCCAATTCAAAACGTTGATGTTTTGTTGCATGTTTTTAAACGTTTAAGCTTAAAATTGTATAAGCTGTATTTATAGCTATGTAAAAGTTATCAACATACTAAAACAAATTTCTAGTAGAAAAATGCTACTAAAACAACATTTATGTTATATTCTAAACATTTGATTTATTAATAATAAGATATAATATGTAACATTATTCAGAAAATTATAACCTAAAATTGTCATTATAAATTATTTTCCACTGTGTAATTTTACTTAATGATAATCTAATATGAAGTTGAATATAATTTTGTTTATAAACAATACATGCAAATAACAATTTTAAATCAATTAGAATGTTAAATTAAATAACCATTACCATAAGGATTGTTGAGCTTAGACAAGTCTGCTGCGTGCACTTTAATTTCATTGGTGAAGTCATTTTCATCAGGCACAACTACATTGTCTAAATCTTTAAACTTTTGTGGTGATGATGAAATAAAATCATCATTATCCGTGTTAAGGAGACGTTGAGCATGGTTCATTGTAGTTGGTGGTGGTGATGATACTGGCACAAACTCTGGGGCGTCTGGATTAAGTTTGTAATCCATATCCTCGGCCTGAAATAGTTAAACAAAAATTTAGTCAAAAAGAAGTAGGTATTTAATTATATTTGTCTATTGATAGGTTAATTAATGTGAATAAAGATAACGACGACGATAAAGCATAATTATTAATTATTATATTTTATATTAGCAGGTAATCAACTATACATGGGCCCCCACACGGTGGGACCCATTATCTTCTTGAAGAATAAATAAATTATAATAATAATGATTAAAAACAAATAGTAAATAAATACAATTACAATAGCTATTATATGACTCATTTAATAAATAATATTTCTTTACGTCAGAATTATTGCTCGTGCCGTTGACGTCCTCTTGGTACGTCTTTTTGTCCGTGTCTTCAGTTGGTTTTTTGTAATAATTCCATCCACCACCGTCTTCTTCGGATTCTTCTCCACTTTCGTCAATGACGCTGGCTTCTCCTTCTACTGTAAAAATTAAACATACAAGACAGAATTAATCATAGAGCAGCTTTACAAAAGAGGTTTTTATACGGCTGAGAAGCCTTGTTTGTCATAATATTAAATTACTATGTATAATAAGCCCACTCAGAAGTATTTCATGATTTTATATACAATAGGAACCTATGGCAAATATTCGTAAACAAATGTACTTAGATAATATACTTAAAAAATATGCATCTAATTTACTTTAGTACTCTCTATATTGTCAAGTTATTATTATTAGGAGGCCGATCTGATATAATGTTTATTTTAATATGATCCCATAGCATGTTACCAATTTCTAAATTAGAAAACTGTAGTTTTGTGATAATACAGAAGTTTTAAAACAAATGTCTGTTAAAGGATGATTCTACATAAATATATATAATAACCAACCCCACGCGATGTTATTAAGAACGTATTAAAATTTTATTGTTAATTATAATTTATCAAAAACGATTTCAACAAGTACAAACCATTATATTTATAATATTCATTACCTAGCAATAACCCAGATAGTTAACTATATAGTATTTACTATTTATAAATGTTTTAAAAGACGACTTCATAGGTGGCGCACAGGATACTAATTGTCAGAGGGGTATGTACATGTAACACGCTGATTTCTTAATAATGCTTAAATATGTATAAGTAATTTTTCAAATTTTCCGTCAGGGAGGTGCAAGTGCACCCCCTTACATCTCACCACTGCGGCGCCAATGGATGACTTGTTTGGTATCAACCAATTGGTAGAAGTTTATTCATGTAGAAATTTAATTAAAACCCTTTTTTTTAAAGACCACTTAGCTTCATTACAGAATCAAAAAACAATATTGATATGATTGAGAGAATGTTTAATAACATAAAACCAACCACCTAAATATGCCTTCTTGGTTGTAGAATAAAATTATGATTACTTTCGTGTTCAAAACGTATACTTATTCATTGTTTTAATATTTTAACAATAAAATGATAAAAATTAAATTTAGATAAGTACTGACTGTTAATACCATGTTTTTCAACATAAACATTATGAACATATATGTAGGTAGGTACATGCTAATTTATTTAACACAGTCATCAGTAATCCTCATCGCCATCAAAGCGAACTAAATGTATTAATTTTACAATGATGCGAGTTGTTTTTTTTGTCTGTGAACAGGATGTGAAGTTGAAAGAATGTTTCGATTGTCAACTTCAGCATCTCATCCGATGAAAAAGGGAATCTGATTGGTACATTCCCAGTAGGTTTCAAAAAGAAGGAAAAACAAAATTATTACGCAAGATTGGTTTTTCACCAAATCAATTTTGGTTTTTGGTGTAACTCAAAAAATGACCGTAGATGCTTGAAACTTTCATTGAATGTTAATATAAACATTTTCTATACGCCATAGTTCATACAATTTTCAAAATATTTTGAGTCGTGTTGAGCTATTTATAGGCATATGACATTTTCGATTTTTATTAGTGGTTTTAAGGTACCTATGCCGAAAAAATAAATTTCAAAAAACTTGATCAGAATTGTTATTCTGCAAAATACAGTCAATAATATTCGGATTTGGTATAAATGTATATTTATACAATTTTTTATCGTTAAAATTTAAGTTTTTTTACTTTTTCTTAGAAAACATACTATTTAGTTTTTACTTTCATATTCCTAAGTAAAATATTTTTCAGACTTGCGGAGTATTTTGTTACAAACAAATTGAGTTTCAGTTGAGTAGTTAATTAGTTACCACCTTGTACACATATTCATTTGAGGTAAGATAACAATGGTTATTAAGTAACATAGATATGTTTTCTTTGATACTTGCAAATGAACAACTACCGTGGATTTATAAAGCAAAATGTTTGTCATTTGTTACAGTGAATAAATTATGTACTTTTAAACTATCACCATTAGTATCCATAAGACTTTCTGCCCGATTTTTTGTTAAGATATATTTTCTAGAAAAATGCATTAAGTCTTATCAGATTTGAACTCAAAATCAGATGTCTATTATGCTCCAGTATATTAACACACTTTGTAAATGAAAAATAGAGTCGACAAATTAGCTAGGTAGTAGGGAAAATCTTGCAACAAATTAGTTTTTTAGTGAAATAGTATAATAACAAAGTCAGTAGACCATAAATAATAATTAACGGTTGTATCTATGTTTAAAACAAATTGTTAGCTCTTTTTGTCATGTTTGGATTATTGCATAATGTGTTAGAGCTCATAGCGATAGCTTTATCACACAACGATAATCACTATCCAATGAAAATGCTTCATTTGTGGAACTTTTTAGAAATTAGTACAATATTATTTTTAATAATTAAATTTATTCTTGATAAAACATATTTCTAAGGCATAGTAAGAGTAAATATTATGAACAATAATGATTAATAGATAAAGAAAAAAATAAATAGTTTTGAATGACTAATTTGTAATTATAACAATAAACTACCTGTGTATAGGCTATTTATAAATAATATAATATAGGTAATACATTGTATAGAAATATTTGTCATTTTATTGAATGCTTAAGTATAATACTTAGTTATTAATACTTTACTTATAGGACTTTTTTATTTAAGTAATACATTTTTGATGAAATCATATTAACTTTAAACAAAAAATAAATTAATACCTAAGTATACAGTAAGAATGTACCTGAATATCTGCTAATGGTATATATATATTCGAGTAAATATTATTATAAACTGTTAAATTGTAGTCGTACACATAAATACTGATTATTAATAAAAATCGATTTATATTATTTATTAATAGAAACACCAAACATCAAAACAAAAAATAAAATCAGAAATATTTTCAATGAGTAACAGATACTGTAGTAAAAGGTGTAAGTATAAAGGGCAACAACGCAGCCACCACACTCAACTACGAATGGGCCAGAAATAAAATTAGAGATCGTTTTCCCTCACATTTTGTGTCAGTGGTTACCATTATTGAAGTTTACCGTTAACATATTTGATTTTATAAAATAAAAATTGCAAACCACTGAAAAAATGTTTGATTCATAATATTAATGTTTATTAGCTAGAATCTAGATCATTGTTATTATTCCACCTACAGTTTAATCCCACACAACAGGATATAGTTGAGTTAGATGGAAATTATCAAAGTATAAAAATATTTCAAATTTAAAAAATGATTTACGAAATATATAGGTTTTATGCAAAGTAAATATTCATTGTCGGTAGTAACGCCTAGTATTTAAAAAATAATAAACTGATAAGTAAAGCATACTAATAACCTTAATATACCTAGTACCTGTATATTTTACATTATATATATATATACATCAATGTGTTGAAACATCATACATAGGTACACAGCTTTATAAATATCTCGTAGCATAGAAAAGTATTTTTTTTAACTTCATAAGTAATAAATAATAATATTACAGGAATACAAGATGTTAAATATTAACTAAAGTGTACATTTTTCATTAAACATTAGTTTAGTTTTTCATAAAATAACTGAAATTTTTTCACCTACATTTTTTGTGCGGTTTTACTGATGGGTAATTACAGTTTATCCCCCCCCCCCCACCCTAACCACTCGATATCACACAATCTAATATTAATTATAAATTATCAATTTTACTTATTGTAAGCTAATTAGGAACATATTGCTACCATTAAAAATAAATGAAAAAACAACGATATTTTAACCATTTTTTATTGCGATTTGATGAAAACTGAATACTTAATTAAACATTCTATAATTACAAAACATACTATAAAAAATCATAGGTATATAGTTTTTACGGTAATAAATGAATGGTAATAGCGTCAAATACAGATAGTGGTAACGGTACTGTATTTTTTTTAATTTGATTAGGTATAATTAATTATTATTTTATTATTTTAATTAACAACTGTGGCGTTATTTCAGTTTTCAATAGAGAAAGGCAAAAGTATTAACCTGCCCAAAACCAAAGAAAACAATCTTACAAATGCCATACGTGTCTATAAATTCAAATTTAAAATCTATATTATTGTGATGATCACTTCCTAGAACTAACATAATAAATCTAAAATTATAAAGTAGTTGCTTTTCATCAGCAATACCTGCTCGTTGGATTGTTTTTTTAAACCATGATACTATTCATTACTTCCACCTCAGTTGCATCGTTCCCTCTAGATTCCCTTCAAATGACACAACTGATCAAAAAGTATCAATAGGGATCAGGTATATTATTTAGTTGTCAATTACTAGTTTTATATTCACTTATTTAATATTTAGTATCCACTATGCATCTGATTTTTCAAAGAAAAACAAATTATCTTCAAAAATGTGTACATAAAAGAAAAAAAAACTAGTAGCATTAAGCAGTAAATTTGTTTTCATACTTAATCCCTTTGAAAAACAAAATATTTTTGAAGTATAGTACGTGTTAAAGAGGGAGAGCAAAAAAGATATTGTATTCCACTTCTATAGATGTCAACCGTTAACTGGTAGGTCCCTTAATCACCACGCGGACAGAATAGGGGAAATGCAATTTTTCACTCATTACACCAACGATAACATCGCCCTGCCGGCGCCGGGATTCTTTTGTTAGGGGGAGTATATGTTGAATAAGGCAAATACATGAGGGTTGATTTTAAATACATATTACACATTAATGAAGAATATAAGCGAAAAAAATTATATCCTTATATGCAACACAAAATACACGTACAACTATATATGTATATTGTATATACGTATATACGATTGAATCAGTATTTGTGCAGACCGTGAAATCATTATGAACGCGACTAGAGTAGGTGGTTCAACGACCCCGGCAGGGGAAATGGGGGGCAATCTAAGGGGGGATAACATTAAGGATAACAATGAGACCGAAACGAATTTCAACCGGAGCGGAGTTCGGAAAACACTGACCATTGAGGAGAGAATATTATTAAAGTCTGGCATCAACGCATACAACTACTACAATGGAGACTACTTGGTCGTCATCATTAACTCAAGAAAAATGTGTTCTATGATGCACAGGAATTTAGAGAAAATTTTTACTTCCATACTCAACATGACAGTTATTTACCATAACTAAATATTTTTTGAAAGCTCTACCTTAACGTAATGGCTTTTAACAGTTAACATAATTATACTAGTCACTAGATGTAAAACTATTACAAATCTTTTACTTTCATCAACATCAATTTAAAACTCATAATTCATATTATATATACGTTACAGCAAAAGTTCATGTTAATAATAATATACCAATAAAACCTACAATGTACAAACTACTGCCGGTAAATGTCCAAATTTCTTCCTTTTACGGTTTAATTTCGGTAAAATCTAAAATAATTCTGTTAAGCACCGGATGATTGTTGTTAATTGGATCTTTTACAAATGAGAAATTGTCATATTATAAACTATAAATTGTTTTGAATATAAAAAAATTAGCAAAAAATCCAAAATCTAAAATCTAATGCAATGACAGTGAAGTGAGAATTCGAAAAAATTGTTCTGAACTTCTATGCACATATTTAGTTTTAAGTTTTAACTTATTTTATTATTTGATATAAATCATTGAAAATATAAAATATAATAGGAACTACTTCAAAATGCATTAATTTAGTTTAGATATTTCGTTTATTTACTTACTTTTTAATATTGCGGACTCCAAAAATAGCTTATACTAAGATTTACCATTCTCGTATGCAAAAGCCAAAACTACAATGATTATCAGAAATTCAACAGAATTATTTGGTATGGCCGAAATTTTAACAAGATTGATCAGTAAAAAATTTAGTGGAATTTGGACATTAATGAGGAAAAGTAAAACCTAGTAAAACTGATATTCGGATTTTTTTTTAACAAATTATTTTAATGTTTTCTATAAAAATGTTAGAAGTAAGAAATATGTAGATATTGACTTTGCAATAACATTTTTAATTTTCTCAGCATTTTAATAGTTTAGAAAAACTAGTGAAGTACTGAATAATATAATATTATAAAATATGTAACTGTAGTCCCATACTGAGGCGAGTGCATTCAGACGAGTGGTTAACTCAGTCTTTGTATACCGTTCAATCCAAGTTTTAGAATTTGCATCAAAACAAATCTTAATATGTAATATACATAAATAATTTATGTTAAAATATTAAATATTTTTCATAAATTGAGTATCTCAATATCAACTTAAAACAATGACGAAAATTAGACGAATAATAAATATTATACTTAATTACATAAACACCAATATTAAATATTGTCACTTTATATGGAAATGCTATATTTCGTAGTTATGGTTCTACTGTAGTATTAGAGGTAATGAATAAAATATATTTAAAATTATGATAATTATTAGGAAACTTAACTACTACTATATTATGTATTTAAGACATGGGTATATAATGAAGAATGAAGATCCAAGAATCATGACGTCTATTAGTACTAAAACATTTTGTCACGTCCTTATATTTGAAGGACAAATTAAATACATAACTTTTGTTTACTATTATTCATGGTTATTACTTATTAGTTATTAGTCTATTTAATTTTTTGTTGAGTGTGCCTATAGATTCATTTGTTATAGAAAAATATACTGTTATTTATTAGCTTTTAGTAATAAAATATACTGTTTTATAATACCTAACTGAAAATGTACATACAATTATAACAAAAGGTGAAGAAAAGTCATATTGTTAATTAGGAACCAATAATCAACGATAAAGTTGATACAATTTTAAGTCAAGTGTATACTAATTAGTAATTTTGTCGAGCTTAAAAAATTGTACCAAACGAAAGTAAAAAAAACTCAATTAATATTTTAGTAAAAAAAAAAAGGTGAATTAAATTTGAGCTAAACATAGTAATACCATTACATACACACCCTATAACACATATTAACACTTAAAGTAAATTGTAAATAGGTACATAAATTATCACAGCTGATTATCACATTGTAACATAATGACTAATAGTTATGTAATAATGAGACGTTATTTAGAAATTAAAAATGTAATAAGTACCTAATAACGATATCCATATTTTTAAAATGAGAAAATCAAATAATTAATATATATATATAACCTAAAGTAAATTATATATAATGAGAGATAGTTAGGTATACGTAAATGTTTTCTTTTTTTCTTTGTGGTTACCCGTAAGTCGTAACATAATTTTTTTAAATATATATATTATAATATATAAACCTAAATTTGAATACAACTATTTTTGTGTTGCTATCATTTGTTTTTATTATTAAGAGTTAGCACATACTGCACTAATGCAGACTTTTAATCAGCTGACAGTTTTATCGGTATTGTGCAAACTCATACCAAATTTATCTCTACTAAGCAAAATTACAGTAATTTGTTGTCGGTGCACATACTATTAACAGCGAGTTAAACTACATTTTATCAACATACCTTTAGGTTTGGTCAAACCGATCGGCTCGTCGGGTGTGTCTACATCAGTTTCGGGGCCAAAATCCCCGGCATCTTGACCGTAAGACGCGAGCGTTTCAGTTGCGTTTCTTGGTTCCATAGCTGTTTCCATTATAGCAGCCCTTCTTTTGGCTACTAACTGCTTGGGATCCTGCAGAAATACTGTTATCACTGATATATTATCCTTAGATCCTTGTGCCTTAGATCTGAAAACAAGCTTATTGCAAACTTCAGATATGTCACCTGTAATAAAAAGAAATAAGTAAATTGTACAATTATTATTTATTTAATTGCAATATATCTAATACACAATAAACACGAACAGATAAATAATATATAAATCGGAATGACAAGTGAAATTTCAACCATTATCAATAGATATCCATTATTTTTAGAAAATCTTAAAACTACTAAGGTATCCAAGGTACCTACAATCAAGAAACCACATGTATCCATGAATAAGGGTAAAGCATCAACACTTAGCATTCTCGTTTAACTATAATTTAGCTTTTTCTCCAAATTTAGGTCAGAATACCTACCATTCAGATTTTTATTCTCAACTATACTTTTCTTAAAAAGTGAATCCTAACAATTTGGCAAAGATTTTTTAAGCAACAATTAACCACTTATCATTATTTTAAAAGTATAGAACAATTTCAATTGAATGGATTTTGTTATAGAGGAGTTAAAATATTATTCAGAAAATTAAATATTTTATTGAAAAACAAAAGTACCTAATTTATGTTAACTACAGCAAAATAACTTTTAAATGAGTAAATAGTATTCCAATGGATAAGTAGACCAACGGCAATTTTGACAATACATCAATTAGTTTGCATCCATGGCATACTAAAAAAAATATATGTAATTAGTCGTGTTTTATTATGCTTAACACTTTAATGAACATTTGCATCATTAAAAACATAATTTATCGAAATGAATGTCAAGATATTATTATTTTGTAGTTATTTTTCTAATAATTAATACTTATAAGGTATTCTAATTTTAATTTTAACTTACATTTAAGACGTTTATTTTCGAATTAGTTGCACTTAAATGCACAATACATTTAGAACAATGTTGGACAATCTTTACAGAAAAGTAAGCCTCAAATGTCAGTAAGACAGTTTTAGAAAATATGATGAGTATTCGTAAATTAATAAGAGGTGTTTTAATTAAATGAAATATAAATGAATAATAATTGTACATTTATACCTATATTTTTACGTCAAAATTTAAAAAAAATGAGTTGATATAATATTACCTATATATTATAAGAATAATTTTTTCAATTAGTTAACATTCATAATATTATATTTTAAAATAAGTGCGATTCTAATATTTTATTCTGCCTTAATTATGACACCTATATGAATGATACTATACACATTTAATTCTTAAATTAACAAAATTGGGAAAACAAGTTTTTTTTAGAAAGGGTCTACTGCAGAGACCTAAAATTTCACAGTATATTTATATAATTTAAACTTATAGATTATGTATAAGTTATACAATTTTTCGACAATTTAGATTTTTTTCTAATAAATTGCACGTTTCTTGGAAAATTCATTACGTATAAGTTTCCTCGCAGTTATTTTTTATACGCGTTAATAAGAAGTTAATATTTTGATCAAAATGGTTATTCAAACCCAAGATAACAATAATACCGAGTAATTTTGTCGAAATTCAAAAAAAATTTATCTTAAAAACATTCCACTGTTACTTAAAGTTCATAACTTATAAGATATAAGTTATAGTACTTTTTGCAAAACATTAAGACTAATTTTAAGCTTTTTATATTACTATAATCTATTCACATAATTCTACAGTATTGGGATTAAATAAAATTATGTATTGGTGAAAATATTTTTAATCTACCAAATTCAGAAATGTATTAATATACTAATATTGTATAATGCAAAAATGTCCTTAAAAATAGATGATCTTGAATCACACATCTCTTTTAATCAGGATCATTTCTTTGTATGATTAACAATATGATTTTTTATCAATAAATTCAAATATAAGTCACATACATTTCAAGGAACTACTCAAAATCGATGTATATATAGCAGAGCAAGTTCCCTGATTTTTATACTTCAATTTGGCTCGTGGGAACGCATCGATAATTTCTAACATTGCCAACAATATTCCCAAAATCTAAGACAGTACCTATATAATATATAATATTTAACAATATGTAAAATGTTCAGTAAATGTAAGCTTATACATCTATTCAAGTAGTATACAATTTATATTGCTTTATAATACGATTCGTAGTATCAAGACAAAATAAACACATAAAAGTCATAAGGGTGTGCTAAACAAACTTCCGTGTATAGTATTATTAATATTTTATCTTATTTTTGTTTGGTCAAAGATAGGCGAGTTTCCAATATACGGTATTTTAAAAGAGGGTGCAGATATTTTATGGCCTTCGGTGAACTGTTGAATAAAACGTATAACATTCTCAGTTTCTCTAGGGAAATTTGTCATGTTTCCTTCTATTCAATTAAATATTAAAACATCAACTAAACTGCTGAACTACATCAAAATAAACTTAATATTGTATAATTAACAAATGTGTTTTTACTTTCCATATTTTTATGAATGTATAATTTATAGAAGCTCTATACATTTGTAATATCTAAGATTGGGTACCTATATAAAGTATATAATGTACCTATTTTACACAATAAACTTCTACATACAAATGTATCTTATACTACTGGGGTCTGAAAAGTATTATATACATTATTTTCACAAACATTAAAATGTGTCGTATTTGTATATTGTTATTTGTGAATGCCTGATGATGGCATTGAACAGTTAACAACCTGAGACCTTTTTAATTAATTACAAATACTCGAAAAATAAAATATAATGTATTTTTTACAGTAAAACTGTAATAGTGTAATATTTAAATGTGTAAATAATGTTTTGCATAAATATTCAGTTTAAATTGGGTTTTTATACACGTGGCCACTAGGGTATTGTAAATTATAACTAGATAGTATACTCCGGGAATTTTTTTTTTGTGGCTCGGGGCTCCCGTCACAATATGGGATCTTTAGTAATGATTCAAATTATTTATACTTATTTGTTCTAAATCGAAAAAACTTTTTGCAAACATAAATGGACGGAAAAAAACCAGAGAAGTCGCTCTGATGGATAGTTAGTCCTAAAGTAGGTCACTATAATGGATGATTTACATTTGAATTCAAAGATATCAATACATACGAAAAACGATTTTGAGCGGAACACGATTTGTCAGCATTTATTTCTAAGGATATTTTATGATGTATTTATATTACACAATAATAATTTATTCCCCCTTTATTTTTTATTAGTAATATTGTAGGTTTAACTTGAATTAATGTCTAAGAAACCTATCTAATATAATGTTATGATTAACCTATAACTTAAGTCAATACTGATGCACGTACCATATAGATTCTTGTAAAGTTCAAGGTATAAACAACTTAGAATTAGACTGAATAAACTGAGAATTTTAATATGTGTAGAAACTAATAAGTAGCAACATTTTTTGAATGGAGGCAAAATAAAATCGTTAAAATATTCAATTTTTTCTTTAAACTATTTAAACTTCAAACAGCTACACACAAAAAAATATGTCTATTTATTAATAGGCTGTTATAAGAAAAACTCAAGAGGAGTATTAAATTTAAAAACTAAGTAAAAAAATTTTAAATGTGTGTATTTTAAATTATAAAACAATTTGTGAATTTTCGTAATTTTTGTTATTTTGTCAAAATTTTAACTTCAAACGCTAAAAAAAATAATTGTACAGATATTTTCAAATGGTAATAAGAAAACTTATGAAGAACCTAATGGTACATTTTAAATAATTTTATGGAAATAACAATATTTATATTATTTAACTGCCGAGCTATGAGCAGTTTAGTGGTAATTTAAAATAACACACAAGACTGGAATACCGGCAAACGGTGTTCCAGCTTGTTGCGATTTGGCAGCAGACAGTCACAGGGCGTTTGCTCGGGAATATTGATCCTGTAGTCGTACGTAGTAGTTGTCGTTATACTCGTGGCGGGCTACGCCCTGTAGACGTCTGGATCGGCGAAAAATAATGACACGTTGAAAATGAAAAGTTCAAATGAAAATTTCACATGATTAAGTTCTGTTCATATCCAATATTAGGCAAGTTATTTAGATTCAACGAAATAAATAAAATTAATTATTTTTAAAATTAAAATTAAAATACAAGGTATTTTAACTATTTATTTTTGAAGGCGAAGGCAAATGTTTTTTAACATTTTAAAAATATTTTTTACATTTCATATATTTAATTTATTTTCATCAGATAATTTAAATAAGCGAATAGTTAATAACAAAACGTCTAAATGTTACACGGATTTTTTTTATATCAATCCATCACAAAATTATATTTTCTAAAATACATATTGTTTAATGTACACAATTCATATATTTTATGGTTAGACACCAATTAAATACAATCATCATTTTGCTAGTTCATTTTATTATTCAGCTGTAAAAGTCAAAATCTTGTGACTATAATAAAATTAACTCAGAAAGTTTTAGTGATATTTTTTGTTTTTTTCCCAAAAGGCAACAACTAATATTAAAACTTAAAAGAGAAACTTTAAAACATGCTTCCATATACATTCTCCTCTAAGATTAATTTTTGGATTTTTAAAAGTAATTTTTATTTTAAACAGGTAGGCAAAAACGGCAGAAACGTATAATTTTAATAATATTTTAACCGATAAAAACTGTAAATTGCGAAGTAAAACCATAGGTAAACCCCTACAAAAGGACTCGAAACCTTACACTTTGTCCCGACCAATTATCGTAAAGTATTATTAATATGTTCATTGCATAAAATGAACGATTATAATAATAATATTATAATTATTGTTAAACAGCCCGAAGAATATGAGCTAGACAGTCGTTTCAAGTGACTCGATACTCAAAACCATACATACAAATAATAATAATGTTGAGCTCTTAATTAAAAATAGTAATAAATAATAATAGTTGAACCTTAAACTACGTTCTACGTTCATGATGTGTAGGTACTCATTTGTGTAGTAACATAGGAATGTTACTATCATCATTAATATTTAATGTTATGTTCTAAAATATAATACATCGTATAGGTATTAACATTAAAAAAAACCAGACTTGTTCTATGTTCACGTTCAAATTAGTAAAAACGACCTATTTATTTGTTGTTTTATTTG